ACACGTTTTCTTTTAGGAATTAAGCAATTTAATATGGAAATTGAATTAACTTCTAAAATTGTTTGAGGTTGGTTTAATTCGCACAAAAAATGGTAAAATGATTGTAACACTGTGTCAAATTTTATAATGCGATTGTTTTTTTTAGTTGTCACAAAATTGATCGCGAATGAAGTCGAATTATGTATCTTAAACAAATTATGTCGGGGCACTTTTTTTTACTTCAGTTTGGGTGTGTCTAAATAATGTTGGTTATTGCTTAAAATGTACCCTTTTTTATATCTTACCACGTCTGTGCTTTAAGAAATAGTATTTTTATAATACAGTTTTTGGCCCCCTTTGTTGTTCTGCATTAAGTAGGCCATGGGAAAAATAATATTACGCTAGAAGTTGCAGAACATCAATTATTAAAAAAGATTAGTAAAATACTGTTACCTTGCGGAAAATGTTATTCCCTTTTCACTGAGATTTGCCATTAAAATAAGAAATACGTTTACATTTTTCTATTTGGATTTGGCAAAATTTTATAGATTCTGATTAGATGCAAAGCGGTCAATTTTTTGTATGGATAAAGTCAGAGTTGCCGTTGTTGTTCTAAAGGTGGCGCAGTTACCTACAGCCCTCAGGTCTTATGACCCATTGTGACGGGTTGAACACAGCAAAGGTTTTTCAGATTGATTTTCGGTCATGTGGTAATGCTTGTTTCAACATTTATAGATTCAAATGACTCGAAAATCGGATTCATATACGGGGTATATACAGGGTGTTAAAAAAAGAGTGTAAAATATTTCAGGAGGTAATAGTATCAACCAAAATAAGCACAAAAGTCCTAATAAACATGGGTCCGCAAAGTAACGGTTGCGGAGATATGGACCACTATTCGTTTTTCAAACATTTTATTTTATTAGGAATAAACCGACAACGGAAGCTTTTAACAAACAAAAAACAAAGTTACAGAAGATGTTCAAAGTGCCCTCCGTCCATTTCCAAGCAGGCACGACATCTTCGTCTCAACGATATTCGAACTCTTTCGAAAACACCCTCCTTGGTTTGGATTTCTTGACACTTTTGATTAATCCGTAGCTGCAGCTCTTCCAGGCTATTTACAGGAGTNCGTTTTCAGCTGGCCAAAATACGTCCTTCTGGACGTTTTTGGTGTATAATTTAGTAACTTTAATATTTTGATAAATTTTCAAAATTTTTCTGGACTATCACTCATGAAAATATTTGTCTAAAAAACTGTTTTGTCTAGGAACAGTCTGAAAAAGATCACGTAGGCTAATTCGAACCTCCTAAATCCATTTTTAAAATCAGTTTGTAAGTAAAGCTTGACGGGAAGAAGTTATGTTTATTTCTTTCCAAATTTATTGTCGCAGCGCGAAGCCCTTTGTTCTAGAAACAAATTGGATTCAAATTCGAATTCCTCGCACAGGATTAGTGAGTCGAAACAGCACAGTTAGCTGTGTAACCTGTTGATAACTATGATGTTGCGGTACTATACTCTTACGATTTTTTTTCGCATAACCGCCAAATTATAGAACATAGAGAAAAACTGACATCACCAGCGTTTTCAGCAGGCCAAAACACGTGCTTCTGGACGTTTTTGGTGTATAATTTAGTAACTTTAATATTTTGTTAAATTTTGAAATTTTTTCTGGACTATCACTCATGAAAATATTTGTCTAAAAAACTTTTTTGTCTAGAAACTGTTTGAAAAAATTCACGTAGGCTAATTCGAACCTCCTAAATCCATTTTTAAAATCAGTTTGTAAGTAAAGCTTGACGGGAAGGAGTTATCTTTATATGTTTCCAAATTTACTGTCGCTGCACGAAACCTTTTGTTCTAGAAGCAAATTGGATTCAAATTCGAATTCCTCGCACAGGATTAGTGAGTCGAAACAGCACAGTTAGCTGTGTAACCTGTTGATGACTATGATGTTGCGGTACTATACTCTTACGATTTTTTTTCGCATAACCGCCAAATTATAGAACATAGAGAAAAACTGACATCACCAGCGTTTTCAGCAGGCCAAAACACGTGCTTCTGGACGTTTTTGGTGTATAATTTAGTAACTTTAATATTTTGTTAAATTTTGAAATTTTTTCTGGACTATCACTCATGAAAATATTTGTCTAAAAAACTTTTTTGTCTAGAAACTGTTTGAAAAAATTCACGTAGGCTAATTCGAACCTCCTAAATCCATTTTTAAAATCAGTTTGTAAGTAAAGCTTGACGGGAAGGAGTTATCTTTATATGTTTCCAAATTTACTGTCGCTGCACGAAACCTTTTGTTCTAGAAGCAAATTGGATTCAAATTCGAATTCCTCGCACAGGATTAGTGAGTCGAAACAGCACAGTTAGCTGTGTAACCTGTTGATGACTATGATGTTGCGGTACTATACTCTTACGATTTTTTTTCGCATAACCGCCAAATTATAGAACATAGAGAAAAACTGACATCACCAGCGTTTTCAGCTGGCCAAAATACGTCCTTCTGGACGTTTTTGGTGTATAATTTAGTAACTTTAATATTTTGATAAATTTTCAAAATTTTTCTGGACTATCACTCATGAAAATATTTGTCTAAAAAACTGTTTTGTCTAGGAACAGTCTGAAAAAGATCACGTAGGCTAATTCGAACCTCCTAAATCCATTTTTAAAATCAGTTTGTAAGTAAAGCTTGACGGGAAGAAGTTATGTTTATTTCTTTCCAAATTTATTGTCGCAGCGCGAAGCCCTTTGTTCTAGAAACAAATTGGATTCAAATTCGAATTCCTCGCACAGGATTAGTGAGTCGAAACAGCACAGTTAGCTGTGTAACCTGTTGATAACTATGATGTTGCGGTACTATACTCTTACGATTTTTTTTCGCATAACCGCCAAATTATAGAACATAGAGAAAAACTGACATCACCAGCGTTTTCAGCAGGCCAAAACACGTGCTTCTGGACGTTTTTGGTGTATAATTTAGTAACTTTAATATTTTGTTAAATTTTGAAATTTTTTCTGGACTATCACTCATGAAAATATTTGTCTAAAAAACTTTTTTGTCTAGAAACTGTTTGAAAAAATTCACGTAGGCTAATTCGAACCTCCTAAATCCATTTTTAAAATCAGTTTGTAAGTAAAGCTTGACGGGAAGGAGTTATCTTTATATGTTTCCAAATTTACTGTCGCTGCACGAAACCTTTTGTTCTAGAAGCAAATTGGATTCAAATTCGAATTCCTCGCACAGGATTAGTGAGTCGAAACAGCACAGTTAGCTGTGTAACCTGTTGATGACTATGATGTTGCGGTACTATACTCTTACGATTTTTTTTCGCATAACCGCCAAATTATAGAACATAGAGAAAAACTGACATCACCAGCGTTTTCAGCTGGCCAAAATACGTCCTTCTGGACGTTTTTGGTGTATAATTTAGTAACTTTAATATTTTAATAAATTTTCAAAATTTTTCTGGACTATCACTCATGAAAATATTTGTCTAAAAAACTTTTTTGTCTAGGAACAGTGAAAAAATTCACGTAGGCTAATTCGAACCTCCTAAATCCATTTTTAAAATCGGTTTAATTTCAGTATTCAGTTATTTCAGTAAATCAGTAAAATTTTTTGACTGGAAAAAGTCTAAAAATGTTCTAGATTAATTCAAAATTTTATACACACCCACATGTAATTTATTTTATTTTATAATTTGTTATTTATTTTTACATTAAATTTTTTTATTTTTTTCGTTTCAGGGAGTTTTCTTATGAATCTATACCAAAATAGCAATATTCGAAGATGTATGTTCCTGGTGCTCAGGCGTTATATTGTATCGTCTGGGGCTAGGAGTATATTTTTGTTGTTGCTCACATCAGCATGGCCACAGAAAAGCTAAGCACTGAAACCCGCGTGAAGATATTAATTGATTTATTTGATTTTAANTGAATAGCTTAAATTATCTCTTCCAACAAAGTCCTGTATGTTTTCAGCCAAGTAATTTGAATAATTCCAAATATTTCGAATTTTCACAACCAAGAACGACGGTGACAACTTTTTTAACATTAAGGCGATGTTTCGCCCCGTATTAGCTATGTCCTGTACAAATTTAGTTTCGTACAACTCTCTCGGTTTCAAAAATACAATACCTATGTACGTTTTCAGCCACGAAATTTGAATAATTACAAATATTTCGAATTTTCACAACCAAGAACGGCGGTGACAACACTTTTAACATTAAGACGATGTTTCATATTGTATTAGCTATGTCCTGTACAAATTTAGTTTCGTACAACTCTATCGGTTTCAAAAATACAATACCTATATACGTTTTCAGCCACGAAATTTGAATAATTACAAATATTTCGAATTTTCACACACTTTTTAACGTTATTTGAATCTATAAATGTTGAAAATTTTAACAAGCATTACCACATGAATGAAAAACATAATTTGAAAAACCGCTGCTGTATTCACACCCGTCCCATTGTGCATGACGCTCATAAGAGTTATTCTGAAACAGGCTCTTCCTTCGTGCAAGCGCTAGCTCTGCCGAAGTCTCCCTAATGCCCAAAGATGACAGAAGGCTGCCGTCAAGTATTTGCGTATTTTCATCATTAAGTAGACACAGTGACAGAGGACAATGTATAGAATTCTCGTTTTCGTGTCCACATAACTTATATCTCGAGCTACCACTAAAACCAGTTCTGTTCGTGAAAAACCTGCAAAACTTCTAAACTAAAACGACCCTCGTAAATACTTTACCATCGGTCTTTATCGGGGAGATGGGTATATGTCGTTGTTTTCAACATTTGGAAACTTTTGATAGTTATTTCGAATAGAAAGGAAGTAGTGAAGATGTTACGGACTCCCAATACCTTTATTCGCTTAAAAGTTGTATTTGATTAAATTTGTTTTATTCACAGTTCGAGATACTGCGAAATTTCCTTGTTTGAGATGGCTTTAAGGTTCTGAAAGTGAAACAAAGCGAACCTTTTATATATATATATTTATTTGGCGCAATAATATTTACATAAAATATAAGTTAATTCGGTAAATATCATATTCTATTCTATTAACACTGAAAAATCAGTCCATTGAGAGTACAACAATTTTGGTGGGTGTCGAAAAAAGATTTACTTGCTGCGGGGAAATGCATAAGAATTTAGAATCGTACGTTGGCCGTCCACTTTTGTACACTTTAGACATGTATGGTGAATTCCTTCCTTTCTTGTTCTTTACGTTCCTGGTATCTGCAAAAAGGAAAAGACTGGTCTTATTTAAATTGAAGGTGCCATTATATGTAAATAACAAACAAGGTACAGTCGCTGTAAGGAAGTACCACATACTAAAATTTACCATTTCAGATTCAGTTCTTAGCGATTACCATTTTAAATATTTTTTTCTGTAGAATTAAGGGGACGTACAGATATGTCAATAAAAAAAATGATGTATCAAACCTCGACAGTAGAAATAGTTTAATTTTTAAGCTGTGTGCGAAATAATCCTGAGACGTTACCACATTCCTGAAACCTAAAAAGCAGCTGATTTAGCAAATTTCTCTAGTAATGAATCTACGCATTGCATTTATGGGGCTCATTGCATGTTTTGGAGTTTCAAAGACTCATTCAACCTTTGCAACTCTTTCAAGTGGCATGCTTGAAGGCAGCGGGATCAATGTATCCCACACAGGTGAATGAAGGCGCAATCAGTCCTACAATCCTGAAGTTCGTGATGGATACCACTCTCCGAAGGTCCAAAATCTACTCCCAACCTTACATGAGTTTCTCTTGGTAAAAAAATCCACTCAGTTTCCTTTTAGATCGCTCTCTTTTATTTTTGGATAATAATCCGTCTAGAGGATTAATTTTTCTCTTTCTTCTTCAAAACGTCTTTTTAACATCCATCAGTAAAATTATTGGAAAAGGATAACTTATCGAGTCGTTCGCAATTGCCTTCGGAGGTTTGAGATATACAAATGATTGCAGATGAACTCCTTTGCAGGGCTTCATCCAAAGAGAAACTCGGTAAATGTAGGATGTTTCTGGTGACCATCAGTAAGGGCAGTGGTAAGGACTTTTGTCTTCGTCCAGAATACGCTTGAGGTATTCGGTGAATGATCGTACTAATCCGGGGTTTGTGGATTAGGAATACAGATTCGTGGTTTGTTGAAATAGTCTCGGTGTCTCCGGACTTTGAACTTGCTGGGCCTCGAACCCATTGAACTAATTGTGGATGACAAGTACTTAAATGAATCTTTGAGTATCTAAAAGTCCAATGAGCCCATGGAAGTAGTAGTGCCCAAGGAAAATCAACTAAATGAAAAAGTTTAGGCTTCTACACCAAAAAATCCTATCGATCTTTCGAATCGAATGCAAGCAGCAACAGTTTGGGCACTAATAGTCCACAAAAATAATCACAGCTGCTTCTCCTTTCTTTTTGAATATCTCGAAAAAGTAACCAAAATAGTGTCGTAACTTAGAAAACGCCTTATATTTTCTACATACCGTGCTAAAATGGATGCTAGTTCAATCGGTAATTTTGCCAGTTTGAGGTCCCTATCGCATTCGGCTTCGCTGAGTTCGCGGCTGTCAGAAAATCCAGTTGGGGGTTGTAACCTTAGGTCGTCGGAAGAAGCCACTTCTAACACTTGGTCGTCTTCAGAACTGTAAAGTACACAGAGTATCAATAAAGCTTCCACACCATCACATAAGTACACAAAAAGCATACAACAGTCTATTGTTCAAATGTCATCTATTGCCAGTTCTCATTATACTGTCTTTCTGTGGATGTAAAATTGTCAATAATTGCTCCAATATAACTGACTTTTTACACTCTTGATAAATAGTATATTTTTTTCGATCAGTAGCGTAATTACAATTCGTGATATTGTGAGTACACAATATCACGAATTGTAATTACGCTACGCTAAAGTAGTAACTTTAATAACATGAGGTATGTCTATGCTCTACCTTTTATGCTGAATGTTTTACAAGTTAATGTCGTAAATGATTTCAAACTTATCAAAAGTTTGGAGGAAATATTTTCTTAGAAATACGTATTCAGAAAAGTTCATAAAAGTAACTCTTGTCAGGCGTTGAGGCATAAATGATATTTTAAAACCTGTTTATAACTGTAAAGGATCGAATTACATATATTTGGATGGTTCTATATAGATTTTGAGCACTTTCTTATTCCGAGAATTTTTGGAAATTTTCTTGGGCAGTTGCTAAAAAATTTTAGGACAAAATTGATAACTATGATGTTGCAATACTATATGATTTTTTTTCGAATAACCGCCAAACTAAAGAATGTAGAGAAAAACTGACATCACCAGCGTTTTCAGCAGGCATGCAGCATGAAAATATTTGTCTAAAAAACTTTTTTGTCTAGGAACAGTCTGAAAAAATTCACGTAGGTTAATTCGAACCTCCTAAATCCATTTTTAAAATCGGTTTAATTTCAGTATTCAGTTATTTCAGTAAATCAGTAAAATTTTTTGACTGGAAAAAGTCTAAAAATGTTCTAGATTAATTCAAAATTTTATACACACCCACATGTAATTTATTTTATTTTATAATTTGTTATTTATTTTTACATTAAATTTTTTTATTTTTTTCGTTTCAGGGAGTTTTCTTATGAATCTATACCAAAATAGCAATATTCGAAGATGTATGTTCCTGGTGCTCAGGCGTTATATTGTATCGTCTGGGGCTAGGAGTATATTTTTGTTGTTGCTCACATCAGCATGGCCACAGAAAAGCTAAGCACTGAAACCCGCGTGAAGATATTAATTGATTTATTTGATTTTAAGAACACTTATTTTGTTATTTAATCAAATACGTTGGAGCATTTTTGCCCCCGTTTTGTTCCGGGACTGAAACAAAGGGAATTTTTTGCTCCACTTTTTGTCAATTTTTAACAAAAAATGTAATACACTGATTTTAGTTCAATTTTAAGCAAAATGCACCTAATTTTTTGTTAAATTTTTTGTCGATGTATTCCCCTCTCGGTCCAGGCTGGACCGTGAGGGGAAATTTTTTTAACAAAAAATTCTACCAAAAATCCAGACAAATTAAATATCCGCTAAATTCTGTAAACGACTTAAAATGCGTGTGTTTTTTTTAATTTGCTCCCTAAGTCCCTAACGAAAATGGGTTTTTTTGCTCCATTTTTTGCCCCTTTATTTTTAGAGAAATGCTTGGGGCTCAGAATAATCTGAAAAAAATCCCACAGACACTAGAGAGCCTGGGGAATCACGGGGTGAAATCAGTTTTTTTCTAGCTCTAAGGGTTTCCGAGATTTTAAAATTTTTTCATGAACTATGGCACGCTGACGGAAAATAACCATCCCTACGTGTTCAGCGTCCTCAAATACATACAATAAGCCCCTTAAATGACGAATTTATTTTCTGATAATTTTCATGGGCTATAGTCCATCGATTTTTAGAGAAATGCTTGGGGCTCAGAATAATCTGAAAAAAATCCCACAGACACTAGAGAACCTGGGGAATCACGGGGTGAAATCAGTTTCTTTCTAGCTCTAAGGGTTTACGAGATTTTTAAATTTTTTCATGAACTATGGCACGCGGACGGAAAATAACCATCCCTACGTGTTCAGCACCCTCAAATACATACAATAAGCCCCTTAAATGACGAATTTATTTTTTGATAAATTTCATGGGCTTGTCCATCGATTTTTATAGAAATGCTTGGGGCTCTGAATAATCTGAAAAAATCCCACAGACACTAGAGAGCCTGGGGAATCACGGGGTAAAATCAGTTTTTTTCTAGCTCTAAGGGTTTCCGAGATTTTAAAATTTGTTCATGAACTATGGCACGCGGACGGAAAATTCCTACGTGTTCAGCACCCTCAAATACATACAATAAGCCCCTTAAATGACGAATTCATTTTCTGATAATTTTCATGTGCTATCCATCGATCCATCGATTTTTAGAGAAATGCTTGGAGGCTCAGAATAATCTGAAAAAAATCCCACAGACACTAGAGAGCCTGGGGAATCACGGGGTGAAATCAGTTTCTTTCTAGCTTTAAGAGTTTCGGAGATTTTGAGATTTAGTACACTGATTTTAGTTAAATTTTAAGCAAAATGCACCAAATTTTTTGTTAAATTTTTTTGTTTAAAATCTACTAAATTCTGTAAACGAGTTAAAATGCGTGTTTTTTTTAAATTTGTTCCCCGAGTCCCTAACGAAAATGGGTTTTTTGCTCCATTTTTTGTCAATTTTTAACAAAAAATATAATGCACTTATAACCCTCTCTTTCAAGGCANGAAACTACATTAAATGTTGACATTGTACGACATTGCTTTCATTTACGAGCAAGTCATCGACATCAATAGAGTTGTGACTTCTTTAGGTCATTCCGGAGAACTTGAACTATAATACAATATTACGCCCGAATAAAGTTAAGTAATACAGGGTGCACCAGAAATAAGTGCCAAGATTTTAACTACAATCATATATAAACCAGCAACTATTTTTTCGGATTAAACATCTTAAAATTAAACTTTCCTGTTGTTTGAATGACTTTCGTATCGCACTTCGTTGTCGAGAAAAAAAAATAGAATAGACAAATGAATTCGTTTATTATTGTTTTTCTCGTAAACGGTTCATTTTATCGACAATAAACAAGAGTAGCTTTTTATAGTCTAAGGTTGAAGCTATCCAGATTTATTATTTTAAAGTCTTTGTTATACAGGGTGTTAAAAATTTAGGCATTAAGTTGTAAAACTTAGACCGCCCCCTAGTAAACTAAAAAAGCTAATGTTATCGCTCTCGTCGTTGTCGTCGCCGTTGCTGTCGGTTGTTGTGATTTGTCGATCGTTGTAAGATATAGTAGTTGGTCTTTATCGATTGTTGTTGTCGGTGTTCGTTGTTGTTGCCCATGTCGGTTGTTGTCGTTGTCGGTTGTTGTCATCGTCATTGTCGTCGTCGTCGTCGTTATCGTCGGTGGGCGGTTTCTAGTCACTGGTCTGTGGTCACCGTCGTTGGTTGCGATGATCGTTATTGTCGCTTGCTGTTGTCGTTTGTGGTTGTCGTTTGCTGTTATTGTCGTTTGCTGTTGTCGTCTGTTGTTGTAGTTTCTTTTTGTTTTCATTTGCTGTTTTTGTTATTTGGTTTTGGTTATTGGTCGTGTGTTGGTAGTTGTTGTTAGTTGTCGTTAGTTACTAGTTATTAAATTAGAGCGTCGGCTAAACCCTTAGATATAACACCCAGTCAATGGAGAATGTCCGACTAACGCGACGCTTTTTCTTCAAGGCATCTGTTGAGAATGGTACCGTGAGAGGTGTTCGATAATCCCGCAAGCGAGTCCCTACACACTCCGCAGTATTTCAGTAATAATGTCGATCATCCTAAGAATAGAGGTCTGAAAAAAGTAAAACCGCTACAGTATGGGTAGTTCGTCTACAAACAATTTGAAAAAATCTTTTGGGCTTATTCTACTCTTAAATTTATGTTTTTAACCTGCTTTTAGGTACGGTTTAAGGAGAAAGAAACGAGAATTACTTTATTTCAAAATGTATCAAAACCCGAGTAGCTAAAGCGGGTGTATGAGGCGCCATTAAGATAATAACAGAATAGTACAGAACTTTTCCATTAAATCTCTTAATTTTCGAGATCCCAGTACACCCATTACCACAACGACCCACCCGGTATAATTGTCACGTACTTCCGTATACCCCGCTGTCCAAAAGATGTTTTAATATAAATAATAAATTTAATGTAATAAGATTAAACAGCGCCTGATTTAGAATGTAAGAGTTCAACATTCAAAGATTATACTTAATACGCATATTGTTGCATATTATAACCACTGCCACTGCAATAGCGTCCGCAGGTGTCTGTGGCTGCAATAACATTTTGTCCGATGCATAAATACAATCAGTAAATGTCAAACAATATTGAATATGAATAAAACCATTTACTACATCAAACTTATATACGACTTCCCTAGTATCTTCTAACTTATAAAACTTGTTATCGCTATTGAAAATTTTACGGTCCTGTTCCACCCAGCTAACATGTAAAGACAAGCTACAAGGCGACGCGCGATAAAGAGAATTGACTTAGTTTTCAACGATGTTTCCAAATATCCCATTCATACGCCGAGAACGCGTCACGCAATGCTCAGTTCCCGCCAGGTCAATCTGATGACAGACAAACTACAACAAATTACAATTTCACCTATCTTTTGAATATTTCCCGCCAGCCCCGCAGACGCAGCGATTGCCGCCAGAGGCAGCAATAAAATTCACCAACCTTTCGAAAATTCTCCCACCACTACAAGTAATGCCGAGTCTGAAAATGGAACCAGAACCAAGGGCTCCATCCGATCCCAATATGAGGGTTTACGACCCTCTAAGCATGCTAAGGGGAAATGGGGACAGGTTAACTCCACCGCAAGGTAGTCAGACCAATCAAAATCCACGACAGTTTCTTGCATGGCGCATTATCGCTTTGGCGCAGGTAAATTTAACCGCACATTACAAACCAAACGTAGTAATTCTTAAACGAAGTGGGTGTTTATGTCAGCATTCCTTGTAAGGGCTGTCGTTGCATTTCAGAAATACACGCTCAACTCCAAGATATGAAGTGCCTCACCTTGTATGTACGTGTAGAACAATGTCCTATGTGGCAAAGCACTAACGGTTTTTACATTATTTTGTGCGACAAACTGGATATTACAAACCGGCATTATCGTATTTCCTCTCAGTTTTATACCTCTCCTAAATTGCATAATCAATTTGTAATGGAATTGTTCGCTGTTATTACTACTTTCAGTGCGGTGGGATCAAATTTAGTGCTGTTTAAAATACAAAAATAAAGTGGTTGCGTAACGGCGCGCGTCGAAAAAATTACATATTTGTGTATTTACGGGAGGTTCGCCGCGTATATGCTTGAATAGTTTCTTATTGTTTACACGTTTATTTCTCTTTTTATTAAAGCCTTGTTTAGACCATGTAATGTGAAAATTAAAGTATAACGTGTCGAAATATCGCGTTCTGTTGGTTAATAAAATAATTTAAATGAAAGCTATTGATGTAAAAATACGGATATTACGCACATCGTATAGCAGATGTTAATTAAACTGTACGCTGAACAATGCCGAAGGATTAACACTGTATAACTTTTAAGCAAACCTACACCGCATGAAAAGCGCTTTTGCATTAAAACAATTGAAAGGGAACTTGTGTGTACGTCGCTGTCCAAAATATCTGTGTATAAAAAAATTGCAATAAGAATGTCAACTCTTTTGAAACTACATTAAATGTTGACATTGTACGACATTGCTTTCATTTACGAGCAAGTCATCGACATCAATAGAGTTGTGACTTCTTTAGGTCATTCCGGAGAACTTGAACTATAATACAATATTACGCCCGAATAAAGTTAAGTAATACAGGGTGCACCAGAAATAAGTGCCAAGATTTTAACTACAATCGTATATAATCCAGCAACTATTTTTTCGGATTAAACATCTTAAAATTAAACTTTCCTGTTGTTTGAATGACTTTCGTATCGCACTTCGTTGTCGAGAAAAAAAAATAGAATAGACAAATGAATTCGTTTATTATTCTTTTTCTCGTAAACGGTTCATTTTATCGACAATAAACAAGAGTAGCTTTTTATAGTCTAAGGTTGAAGCTATCCAGATTTATTATTTTAAAGTCTTTGTTATACAGGGTGTTAAAAATTTAGGCATTAAGTTGTAAAACTTAGACCGCCCCCTAGTAAACTAAAAAAGCTAAATATGTTTCAAGGACACTATTTTAAAAGATCCTTACCAGTGTTCAATCAAATAAAATTTTTATTAAATTATATTAAGTACTTTAAAAGTTATTCAAGAAAAACTGATTTCCAGCAGCGTCCTTCAGGGATACATATCTCCGTAAGGAGGGATTGTACGAAAAAATTTTATAGGAACTTGTCATCTTATTTTTTCATGTTCTATCTGATTTCCCACATTTTCCCGCACATCCTGTATAGTAAAAAAGGCGTGATATGTTAGTGCTACAACTCACGAAACTTCCAAACACGGTATGGAGTCACCAGCTATCACCAAATTCAACATAAATAATCTTGCGAGGCAAACAAAAAAATGTATACAAAAAATTGTTTTTGTAACTGCAAATAATAGATATGAATTAATAAACTTAAAAACCAGTACATTTGACAACAGCGCGTTAGCCGCCGGCTGGACAATAGAGGGTGCTAACGATTGTAGTTAAGAAATAACAGCGGTGTCCGTTTGACGAAGTTAGCTCATGTTCAAAGTTATTTAAAGGGCATTTTTTATGGCAATTCAATTTTTGTCCTCCGTTTTGAAAAAGTGAGAAATTTTACGATCGGATACTGGTTGCTGATTTATTTTTTATTCAATTCATTTGAAGGTCAATTTTTGTTTTTTGTTTGGTAATACAATTTCTAACACAGGTTTCTGAAGGGGCGACGAAAACCAGATCTCATGTATACGAAAATCGCCTTCACACCGTCTTAGAAACGATTCTAGCGATTTTCACAAAAATGATCTTCAATTAATTCAAGGTCGTCAAGCGGTGGTCCCCGTTGATTCAAATAACTTTCATAGAGGTCATTTTCCCGATATATCGCTATCCTAACGAGATATCAACCTGAGAAGCTCGAGATGGAGATTTGACATTTAAATAACCTTGAGAATGAACTAACTCTACCAAACGGACATCGGATTCAGCGACCCCAAAAATGGAGCAACATAGAGCTTAATTTACTCCACGGAAATTGAATTTCTAATGCAGCACAACAAATACTGGTAAACCCAAACGTTTTGGCGCAAAGACGTGGCTTTACTTTGCACTGCTTTTGCAGTCGACTTATTTTTTGTGATTTAACCCAAACGGGTTACTAATTCCCGTATAAAATGTCGGTAAAAAATATGGACGTATTAATCTGTTATTTCAAACTTAACTTTTAGTTTAAAATGGAAATGAATAGGGTCCATTCTAGACCAAAAATATTCTCAGTCAGAATTCTTGAAATAGAGGTTGTGGCACCATCTTGTCTTGGATAAATGTCTTCCTTCAGAAGTAAAAGTTACCATTGTTACATTTTTGCTTCGCAATCTTATCTGTCATGTTCGTGAATTAACCTAACTGCGAAGTGATTCTATAACCTTTCTCGAACTATCAAAAAAATAAAAAAATAGAACTGATGAGCTTGGACTGTCTCCAAATTTTACATGTAGTCTTTTACATGATAGCCCGCGAGCGCACCTGTTATCCGCGTCGTGACCTAAATAATTCACAACCCCAGTCGTCAGATACCAAACGGGTGGATAAAAGTGTGGATAGGGAAAAATCGTGCAACATAAAGGCGGGGTACCTTGGCTACCTGCTGCTACTTGTAGGTCTATGGTGTCTCCTGCCCCCCACGTGTCTCGGAGTGTGCCTCCTTTCGGCCAACGGGGACACGTCGTTGGACTCCGTACTGGAATCGGGTCGGAACAGATCTGCAACCAGCAATGTTTCGTAACCGGTGTACCCGATCGTTTGCCTCTCACCTCTTGCAGGCTTCACGGGAACCCTGTAGCTGGATCCGCTCGGGCACTCGCCGCAAGGGCTGCCGCTGGTGTCGTCCGACTCCGAATCACCCCTTGTCGCCAAACGGGATTGTCTTAGTCTAGCCGCTTTCTGCTGGTTTTGAGCTGGAACGGGAGGATTCTTTAAAGCCACCGCTCAGACATGACCCAAATAAATACACTGTAATTATTTTTAAAGGCCAGTGGACACGTAATTGTTTTATAGTTCTCGAGAGATTTAAATATGCTACTATAATTACAAGATGAACTGAGGTCACGGATTTTCTGTTGTTGTACCGTAAGGTAAAACGCAAACAAAGGGATTTCTCAAATATTTCAAAATTTATTTCCTAATAAATCGTTTATTATGTTACCTTCATTGCTGTAATAACGATTCTTGTGCCAGGTGTGTTTTCCGCTGGCGGTTTTGGGGTACATAACGGCGTTGTGGTCATCGTCTTCGATGTGTCCAAAGGTTTTGAATTGCATGGTGTAGTCTAGAGTAGAGGTGGTGACAGAGCGACTGTTGTTAGGTCCCGGTACGCTAAAGGTGGCATAAGGGCTGATCTCATACATGCCTGGAAAGAAAGACGAAAGTGGATAATTTACAGAGGATTTACTCAGCCGCCAAAATGATGTGTGATTGGGATTAAGAAAATTTTTCCACAAGGTGAGACATATTGAACAGCGTGACAGTACTGAGACGTAATATTTCATATCGTTAGGAAAATAACCTTGACAGTTTCACCGTACCAATGGTGGATATTTTAAGAGCGTCTAAAATAAATAAATTACGTAAGTGGAGTCCTGATAGAACTTTGCGCCTTTTCACATTGTTTCAGTGGATATTTTTACTTGAACACCTTCATCCTTTGACATTTTGAAATTAACAGCTATTAAGTATATTTTTTGCAACAACAGACAAAAAAATTGATCATGTCTTTTTTGTTTAATTAATTAACAGTTTAAAATAAAGATGATTTTCCACACATATTTATTTATGATGGCAAAATTGTTACGTAACAATCTGTTGTCTATTTTTATAGAAGTATAATACGTAAAGTTGTTTGTATTTTTAAAAGTGTATATAGATTTTGAGCAAAATATAAAATTTAGCTTATAATGTGGACTTCAATGGTAGTGTGATCTGGTATGGCAGGATACAGACCTTTTAATTGAGGATATTACACAAATATTGATACATTCTACAGCAAGAAAACAATATTTTTTCAAATGTAAGAGTAGATGTTGTGCAAAACGTAATTTTATCTCATTTTATTCGCCACCTTTTCAGATACAATATATTTTTGTATCACATTATTATTTATCTGGCAGTTTTAAAAGGTTATAGAAAAGACAATGACGTGAAGTTAGATTCAGAGATATGGAGATATAGTGAGAAAGAGAAAGAGAGAGAGATGTGGAGATAGAGAGAAATATGGAGTTAGAGAGAAGTATAGAGATAGAGACAGAAAGACATGGGGAGAGAGATTGGCCATAGAGAGAGATTGATAAAGCTATTTAAATAAAAGAGATATAGAGAGAAAAACATGATATAGAGGGATAAAGAGATAGATATGGTTATAGAGATAGAGAAATATGAAGCCAGAGAGATATAGAAACATAGGGACGGAGAGAGATAGAAAAATATGGAGATGGATAGAGAGAGATATTGAGAAAGATGAATATACAGTGTAGGAAAGTACCGATGGTCTATCAGAAGTTGCGTGAGAGCGATAAAGTAAGCCATAGAAATCCATGTGATAGACAAGGATGGCTATAATGAAGGCGTCTAATAGTCAATGCCCATTTCGCCCTTCCACAAATAAGATCCACTTCTTATTTGTGGAAGGGCGAAATGTGCGTTGACTATTAGACGCCTTCATTATAGCCATCCTTGTCTATCACATAGATTTCTATGACTTACTTTATCGCTCTCACGTAACTTCTGATAGACCATCGGTACTTTCCTACACTGTAGAGAGATAAAAATAGACATAGATAGATATGTTTATATAGATTGAGATAGGGAGATAAAGAGATAAGAGATAATGATGGAGATAGAGACGTGGATCTAGAATCAAATATGGAGATAGAGAGAGAGAGCTGTGGAGATTGAGAGATATGGAGATATAGAGAGAGACTGAGAAAGCTACTTAAATAAGAATGGATATAGTGAAATAAACATAGATATACAGAGATATATATGGTGATATAGAGATGGAGATAGAAAAATATGAAGACCATAGAGATATAGAAACATGGAAAGAGAGAGATAGAAAAATATGGAGAGAGAGAGATTTTAAAAAGATAGATATAGAGAGATAAACACAGACATAGATAGATATGCCTATAGAGATGGTGACAGAGAGATAGGGAGATAAAGAGATAAGGATATAATGATGGAGATAGAAACATGGAGCTAGATTCAGAGATATGGAGATAGAGATAGAGAGCTGTGGTGATAGAGAGAGACTGGAGAACGCTACTTAAATAAGAATGGATACAATGAGATAAACATAGGTATATAGAGACATATATGGTGATATAGAGATGGAGATAGAGAAATATTAAGACAGAGATATAGTGAGATAAACCTATGTATATAGAGATATGTATGGTGATATACAGATGGATTTAGAGAAATATGAAGATAGAGAGATATATGGAGAGATAGGCATAGAAAGAGAGATTGAGACAGATGGATATAGAGAGATAATCACAGACATAGATAGATATGCTTATAGATAGATAGGGAGATAAAGAGATAATAATGGAGATAGAGATGTGGAGCTAGATCCAGAGATAAGGAGATAGCTCTCTAGCTGTGGAGATAGAGAGAAAAATATATGGAGAAATCGATATAGCGATAGAAAGATATGGAGATATAGAGAGAGACTGAGAAATCGAATGGATATAGTAAGATAAACATAGATATAGAGAATTATATATGGTGATATAGAGATGGAGATAACGAGATAGATATGCTCTATAGAGGGAGATAAAGAGATAATGAGATAATGATGGAGACAAAGAGAAACGTTGAGATAGATTTAGAGATATGGAGGTAGAGAAAGAAGATAGATAAAAAGAAATATGGAGATAGAGAGAAGTATAGGGATAGAGAGAGATACAGATATGGGGGGCGGACATATAGAGAGAGAAAGCTTGTGAAAGATACTTAAATAAGAAGTTTTTCGTGATAATGTCCCTTGTCCCTTTGATAGTAATGGTGTATGATTCGAATAAAATATTTTAAAATCAACTGAAATTTATATGCGTTCGCTAATGCGAAACTGTTCGTATGACTTTCATCATAGAATTCGGTGACGAAACGTTACAATTTTTTAAGCAAACACCCCAGTCAAATACTATAAACAGTTTCTTTAATAACTATTTCAATGCTAGTTAAAATTGAAGTTTAGACTAGTGCCGTTTGTGATACGATTTTTATAGCGTCCGTAGTGAGGGGCATGTCTTAACTAGGTTATCTGGTGTACTAAATGCTGACCTGAAAGGAAACTAATTGTGTAACTCTAAAAGCAGATTAACATCTAAGATCTTACTTACCGGAAGCATCATCAGACAGTTTCTCGTTAGACTTGACCGGCGAAGAAGTATACACCTGTTGGCAATTCCTGCGGTTATCTCTTTCAGCTGTCTTTTCTTCGTGATGGTGGTGGTGGTGTTCGAGCTCGTTCTCTTCTCCTTGCGGCGCCTCATCGTCAGTGGTTCTGGAAGACGCGTAAAATATATTTTGGTACGAATAATATTACCCGATAAAATTACCTCCGTCTCTTGTAAACGACTATCCAAAAAACAGTAAGGAAAATCAGCAGACACACCGTAATGATTGCGGGAATTACGACATAAGCTTCCATGAAAAACACTCCTTCTTCGGTAGGTGCATTCTCTTCCAACAGATTTGTTGGCATTGGAATTTGTCCTGGAACAACATTTTTGTGTCAAGTTTGCAGCCTGTATAGGTTTTTTCAAAACCAGGATACTGGTTAATAATATCCGTAACATTTGAAACAATTTGCATAAATAAATTGGACAATGATGACTTTATTTATCAAGATATAAAGAAACAAGTTGTTAATGATGTACGTCTACGCTAAAAAGGTTACTTATAGTGTTCCGTGGCCTACGGTTTTTCACGCTTCATTATTTGTTAACAATTAATTAATAAACGGGCAGGAAATATGTTAACTTTCCAATATTCTCTCTTTTTCATAATCCGTTCGTACAACACGAATTATTACGATTTAACAATTTTAGCGTATGTGCAGTAAGGATATTTAACAATTCACACAAAATATTCGAAAGTTGCATTGTCGGTGATGAATATATCCCGTCGATATTATTCGACATTATACATTTTCACACAACCTTGTAGTCCGATGTCTTAATTGTTTCTTCATTCTCCTTTGGCTTTTTCTCTAATTTCGAAACGTTTGCGCGAAACGTTTCTACATGTACCAGTGTCACTTTAGGAAGAAAGAGAAATTTCGACATAAACAAAGAAAACTAAAAAGTTAAAAATTCTACTTTCTCTAGAACGACACGGTTCGGCTTTTTCAAACGCCCTGTGTAAAAAATTATCTAGGCCGTCGCGGTTCTATCGAAATTCAACCGCACTGTACATTTGTCCTAGTGCCTGCAACTTAGAAAGTACCAACCCAGTGCTGTGAAAACATTTGCAGTTGTTACAGTTGATTTGGTACACTTTTTGGTAATGATTTATGTTTGTGACACAAGTGTATAATAAAGCAACGAAAGGCAGCGCGATTATGTAAATTTAAAACAATAACATAAAAAAATTATATAATCCACCGCTGTCGCTGTCCTTTTTAAAGCTCAATCGCGTCAACATCGCGTGGAGATAATGCGTTAACAACAAAACTACTTTTAACACTGCTGGAAACTGCGTTGTTTTAATTTAATTCATAATTTAGCCAGATACGATCGAAACAGGCGAACAATTATCCGAAGATAATTGGGCAAGGCTGCGCTATCTGGCACTAATCACCCTGTAACTCATTTAGGATAAAATCCTGAGTAACCAGCAAGGTCTACAAAGATAACATAGTTATTATGAAACGCATTCACAGCAGAAGGAAAAAACAGCCAGTTATTAACATACACTTATCTACGTGTGTACAGTTACCGTCTTATTCCGCTGAGGTCGAATTTTGCAAGGCCGTTTATATGGAGTGAAAGACTACCTTGAACTGTCATTTAAAGTGTAACACCCAAACTCTGGACGCCATGGACGTAGCCATCAAGTTTAGCAGGGTCGCGCATATTGAATATATTCCATTTATTTCATTTTTTTTATTTCAAGTGAAACCGCATGTGAAAATGACTTTTAAAACTTGAATAAATAAAATAGTACATTTAACATTTAGTACCTTGTACATTGTGACATTCTTTAATTTTCGATGGTTTTGTGCAAGGAAATGTACAAACAATTTTATTTCCAATCCGTGGATGACGACTTAAATTGTGAATTAAAATCGATTGGCTTGGCGCATGACGTCACGTGGAGAGTGATTTAAGTAGTTCATTAATAAAGTTACTGAATAAATAAAATGTGGTTTTAATATCATAATAATTATATACTCTTCAAAATCATTCGGTAATTCCTGTGTAACTTCTTCAGAATTTTTCTTGGATTTTGACATATTTGGCTAGAATGGGCCGTATTTTATTAATATCTCGGTATCTCTTATTTCTTTAATTTCGCAACTTGAAAAATACAGATAAAATCTTGTTTTAAATTGCCTTGAACGAATTCATACTTTTGGTGTTATATATACAGTTACAAGTTATGTAGCGCCCACACGAAATGGAACACCCTATAAAGCTAAAAATATTTTCTTAACATGGCCCACACGATTCCAGATAACTTTTATTAAAACCAATTTTTTAAACAAATTTTACAGTTAAGAGTTACAGAAGAATCCCTCTTAGGTGAAACACCCTGTATGTATTTCCGTCCGCAACCGCCCATTCAGATTTTTTATGTTCTCATTATTTGGAAAATGAGCTTATGATGCCTTATAAACGATTTGCTTTGGTTGTCTGTCGTACAGTCAAAATCGGAACAACGCATTTCAGGAAATCAAAATCACCACAAAAAAAGTTTTATAAAGTTCACGACATGAAAACCAAGCTAAGATAGCATTATTACCGACATAGGTTAATATTATTAATGGCGTTGCCCTTCAGTCCGACACGGACTGATCTATATCCACATATCGATATTTACTCTCCACGTGACGTCATAACATGCCCGCAGGCATTGTCTTTGTACCATGAACGGTCACTACTACTAAATGGACATTTATTTGAAGGCTAGTGTATTATTTTTCGTAGACAATGTAAATGGAGCGGAAGTTCCTAATTCTGAGATTTCCAGGAAAAGCGTCTCCATTATAGACAATCACGCTATTTCCTGACTTTATTTTCAAAACTGCGGACTGCGCGGTACACCATTGACCGCTTCTTTTCATTGAAAGACAAACCAAGGAAGCGAACTATTTTAAAATGCCCGGGGCTATCATCAACATTTCATTCTTACGTCAAATTTTAAAACAATTTCGTTATTTTATTGCCAACGTGCTTGAAGGAATGAATTAATGTGCCGGAGTTTGAGGTGTGGCAACATATTTCTCCACCCAAAGTCAGAGAGTGTAGCGTATTTGACGGAACGCAATCGAATGTGACCTACCTCCTGTCGGTGTAGTCGTGGCAAAATTGAAGAACCCCTGAGCCGTCCCCGCGTCGTTCTCCGCGCTGATCTTCAACTGATACCAAGTAGCGGGGGTTAGATTGTGGACAACTATCCGCTCCTCCGACACGCTCTTGGCGACGATTATCCACTTTTTCTCGTTATAGCCTTTGTACTGGATGGAGAACTGTACTATCGGGCAACCCCCATCGGGCCAGTTGTACAAGTTCAGTTGCAAAGTCGTGGAGTTGGTTATGATGAAATCTTTTTCTTTAGGGAGGTGTGGGGGGCCTCCTTTGGTGCTAACTGTTTGGATGGGGCTGGGACTTCCATTGCCTACTCTGTTGTGAGCGAGCAAGTAAATGTGGTACAAGGAACCGCAGCGCAGGTTCTCGAGAGTGTAAACTGACAGCTCCGGTGACAGCTCGATAGAGGCCCAGTCGTCAGTGTCGTGCTTCGTATTTAAGGTGAAACCTGAAAGTAAGACTCAATTAAACCATCAAACAGATCATTAAGAATTATTTTATGTAATTGTTCAAATCTAGTGAGGAAATGTTTGTTATTATTTGGTGAACGTCACGATAGTAGTGGTACAATACTTTTTAACTTCGCCACTTTCTTAAATTAAAGATAAGATGGATTAAACTTATAAATTAGTCATTATAAATTAGTCAGATCATAAGTTAGTCATTTCCTATAACCAAGTGTGTACATCAAATTTCCTTTGATGCGAAAGTTGTACACGAATGGATCTAGATAATATTAAAATCAACCTGGTCTTTCTTACTCCATTTTAGATTTTATAGAACATGACAATACAAGAGGATTATTTCATTCATCTCGCATTAAATTACAGCGTCGCCATCGTGATGTACAATGGTCTTTGACGCAAGTAATCTCTTCTATTCTGAAATGAGGATTTGAGCGTGCACTTTGTGGTGCAATACATTCTGATTTGATTTTAAGACATCACATCTATTTGAATTTATATATTATTCATATATCAGCTATTACACATTACAAACAATACGTTATTTCAAATTAATTCTTAAGTAAGTTTTATTAAATTATCAACAAATGTGTGTCTTAAAAATACCTCAAATATGCCCTTCTGAAGATCCGCAAATCATACGTACTACTACGACCAAAACGTATCAAACAAAATTAAATCCTAGTGGGGAATCATAAAGAAGATTGAGAAAATGCAATTAGATCCAGACGATGTGCTAGTGCAAGAGTATGCACCAGATGAACCTTCTTTTCCTGAAGGAGTATGCATGAGTTCATCCTTATCCTTAGCTTTGGCAAACGTTTATAAGGAATTATTCGAGAAGGAGTGTCTAGAGTCAGCAAATCTTAAGTCAAAATATTGCTTTTGCTTGTTGAAGATATCGCCTCAAACATTTGACATTGAAAGCTTGTTGGACCACATTAATGGAACACTAACGGATATCAGCTCAGCCATGATGGAAGAAAACGGTACTATTCAGTTCTGTCAAGAGGAAACCAAATGGCACCCTAGAAAAGATCGTTTCCAGGAATTCAACACATATTTAAGAGGAAACCAGATGGCACCCTAGAGAAGATCATTTAGAGGAAATCAACACACATGGATAGGTACCTGAACACTAAGTCTCCTCAACAGCCAGCTCAAAAACAAGCTCAACGCATTTGTGCATTAAATACACTTAGACATGGAAGTGTATCATACAAGAGGAACAACTGCGCCACAATAAATCGTTTCTACGTTTTAAAAATGGAATTAACAGACTGATCGCATGGAATTATATAAAATAATATTCCACTTTTCCCGGTGTACATTAATCTTTTTAAAAGTAACGCACACATTTACACCCACGTGATCACGGTCTGTTAAACTAATTAGGATTACGTAAGACTGGTAAACGAGAGTGAAATATCGAGTTTTCATTTTAAAACTTTCCATTTCGAACAAAATGCAGCAAAGTGGCTGAAATATTACGGAGAACCGTTACAGGATCAAAACAAATAAAACAGTTTCATACACCTGTTTTTTGTTTTGAATATGTCAGGGAAATATTGGAAGGTTCATAGAGCAAAGTTTAAGGTTTCTATGTAAGTGTGATTCATGTTTAACAAATCCAGTTAATGTTATTTATACCCAACAGTATTATTAGCTGCATTACTACACGGTTTAAAAAAACCTTCTTCTAAGGACAAAAACTATTATCCATTAATTTTTACTAAACGAACGCGGTTGATAAACAGGTTCTAAAATCAAGTTTTATCGCTATCTTGGTATTACAACATAGAACTGTTAATAATTAGGTATATAATACGGCTGAATTATTGCTTGGATAGTACGGGAGATCGGGTCGAATAAAACGTAAGCGCATTACTCTCGGTTAACCTAGATAACGGAAAGTCGTATACCCGAGCCACTTACAAAATATAGTACCTTGAATCAAAGCCCCACCGTCTTCTGGGTGTGTCCAGTGCAGTCTGATGCTCGTGGCAGTAGTGAACTGCACCTCTAAAGTTGGTGCACTCGGAGGCATAAGGACAACCAGGGTGTAGGTTATCTCATCCTCGCCGAACAGATTTTTGGCGGAACAGGTGTAGTTGCCCGCCAGTGAAGGGTCGACACCTTAAAATGTAAAATGAAATTAAGACCTTGCCGATCGACCGAACGCATTCCTAATGCAACAGAAAATGTTATCTACTTGTCGCCTTTCTAATCAATATGGGTTTTATGTATTGCTCGCTAGAATGAATGCAGCTGCTGGAATAACCTTTACTCGATATATTTCTGTAGAAAGCAAGATTTTGATAAAGCTTTCCATGCATTTGTCCCTACTTACGTTTAATATGTGATAGTAAAGATCAAAATAAACAAAAGGGTTCTATACAACATGGATCTTCAACTTAACAGCTTTTCGAGAAAAAGTAATTTGTATAGAACCTACAGAATAAATCAAACTACTATAACAGCAAAAACTGTCAGCTTCCAAGTATAATTAACATTTACTTCTCCAACTTTTCATGTTCTACTACATTTTTGGTCCTTCGAGCCGGATTCATTAGTAAGTAATTGCTAGTTCTCGTGTTATTTGTCTGCTTACACTAGCGATATTAGTGAATATCTTTTTGTGTAAGGTTATGTTGTAATGTTATGTTCACCACACAATTTTCTACAAATAAACAAGGGGCCCCACCACGAACTCCATCGATGGAGATCTGGGAAACCGCTCTAAGGATTTTTTTCAAATTATGATGGTGTGATACGGACCGTGGGGCTTACCAAGCTAAAATATTTTCAAGGTCATGGTACTTCCGGTTATACCGGAAGTCGATACTAACTTTCTTATTTTAAATGGAACCCCTTGTATATTATTGCATTTTTGGAAAGAGTATCTATTTTTTAGTTGAAAACATATAGCACACTCCATACTTAGGTCTATTTTTTTGTGCAAATTGGATATCTTGTAGAGGAAGACCTAATTTATCGAATTTGACATGAAAATTTTCCAGTTTTTATACAGGGTGGTCAAAAAAAAATTGTCGAAAATGAAGTTCAGAAAATATGTAAAACTCGAAATTTTTAAATGGAAACCCCTAATTTTTTTAACATATTCGCATTTTGCACTAAAATTATGTGTAACTTTGTTAGTGTTAGTTTAGTGCAGAATGCGAATACGTTAAAAAAATTAGGGGTTTCCATTTAAAAATTTCGAATTTTCCACATTTTCTGAACTTCATATTCGATAATTTTTTTTGAGCACCCTGTATAAAAACTGAAAAATGTTCGTGTCAAATTCGATAAATTAGGTCTTCCTCTACAAAATGTCCAATTTTCACAAAAAAATTAACCTATGTTTCCGGGAAAACTAAATTTTGTTGACAGTTTGCATCTGTCAATTTTTGCTTAAAAATCAAAATATCTCGGAAACGGTCAATCCTAAGTATGGAGTGTGCTATATGTTTTTAACTTAAAAATAGATGCTCTTTCCAAAAATGCAATAATATACAGGGGGTTCCATTTAAAATAAGAAAGTTATTATCGACTTCCGGTATAACCGGAGGTACGATGACCTTGAAAATATTTTAGCTTGGTAGGCCCCACGGTCCGTATCACACCATTAAAATTTAAAAAAAAATCTTTCAAGCGGTTTCTGTTAATTTTTAACATGCCGTGGTTAGTAACATGTTTGGTCCTTCGAGCCGTATTGATTAGAAAAAACATGAGGTTCCCCGTTTAAATATCTTTAAAATGAATATGTTTACGAACTTTTACTTTGAAATATGTGATATTGAACATAGAGCGTTATTAATATTGGATTGTTAACAGGAATTTATTAAAAATGTAAATGCACGTTCGCAAGACGTATTTCCATCGAACAAATTCTCTCACAATAATCGTGAAGTGTGAAATATAATAAACAATAACGTTCGACCATATAAAATGCAATCGTTTATACATTTACCATGCCCGAGAAACCACGTGGTTAAATAAATTCCATTTAGACTTAATTTCACTTTTATGACCTATAACTTACTGTGGATTTTTAAATGGCCGTCGCTGGTAACTTCATAAAACGGGCTGAAAGTTATAGGCCGATCTCTATGTATCCACCTGGTCCTAGGAGTCGGGTTTCCCACGGCCAAGCAGGGTAATAATACCTTAGATTTATCAGGTTTGTGCAACACTTGCGTAAAGGACGCTATTCTTGAAGGCGCCCTGGAATTGGTTGATTGAGCAATAATAGACGTGGGCTCTCCTTCGCCGATAGTGGTCGTTGCAGATACCTGTTTGCAGAGAAAAAATTGTATATACAGTGTATCGCTCTCCCCTTCGCTATGTAAAAGGCAAAGATTGAGCAAAAGGGCGGGTAAAACAGATGCACCAACATATTACATCAGAACCTCGATAATCCGAACTAATTCGGACTGAAGACAGTTCAAAAGTGCATCAACTAGAAAGAGACGAAGTTTCATTAGTGTATGACAGTCAGATTCGGATTGTAGGTCGTTTGGATTAGTGAAGGGGTTCGGATTATCGAGGTTCTAGTAGTATATTTTGATTTCAAGACGATTGATTTTTATCAGTTCAAGCCATTGATTAACATTTGTTCATGCATAAGCTAAATGAAATGAACTAAAAAACAAAACAAATTCGGCCAACAACACCTGTACGGAAAAAGTCAATGGAAAGCTTCTGTTCGATTATTCGGGGACCATTAAAGATCTAGGCTTCGTTGATATTTTAAGTATCACTTCGGGATCACCACTTGAGGGTTGCTTTCGGTGTGCTGCAAAATAAAACTCTCTCTCAACGGTAAAATAAAGGCACTTTTATTGAAAACAAAGTGTAGCGAGAAGGAATGTTGTCGAGACGAGTCCTGTTGTGGAGTCGCTCGCAGGTATAAGTATCTAGTCCTTGGCGCCAATCTGTCGTTGCTCTTTTCCGGGAACCATAGTGTGTATGTCCCGCGTGCAGATTTTCGTTTGTTGCTTGCAACTGTTAGACCTGTCCAGCGTTAGGCTGACGCTCTTGACGTAATACTCAAAAAGGGGCACTTGCAGACATATGTACCCACACACCCCCTGTGTGTGACCCATTTTAAGTACCACGCCAAGAGCGCCAGTCTGACGCCGGACTGGTCTAACAGTAACAAGCGACAAACTTGCTGGTGCCGCCGCTTCTGTTGTCATTGTTGTTGTAGTTGTTGTTGCCGTAGTAATAATGGCAGTAGCAGCAGTAGTAGTTATTGTAGTTACCGCTGCTGTTGTTGTCTTTGTTATTGATGCTATTGATCTACAATAGCAACATCAGCAGCAACAACTACAAAAACAACAACAACACCATCAGCAGTAGCAGGAACAACGACAGCAATAACATGTACAACAGCAGCAGCAACAGTAACAATTAAAGCAGACTTCTTTAATCTATGATCAGAGTATTCCTTACTAAGTCGCCAGAGATTCCTTACTGTTGTAGTCAAAGCATTCCTTTCCAACTCGGCAGAACGCTTCTTTCCTCCTTACGCATACTGTCGATTAAGGAAATCAATTCATTTAAGAGCGTTATCAGCGTCGCGTCGTTGACTTAGATTAGATGTTCTTGTTATTGCTGTTATTGATCTTACTGGTGCTGTCGCTTCTGTTGTTGTTGTTGTTGTTGTTGCCGTAGTTGTAGTGGTAGTAGCAGCAGTAGTAGTTGTAGTTGCCGCTGCTGTTGTTGTCGTTGTTATTGATGCTATTCATCTACAACAGCAACATCAACAGTAACAACAAAAATCTGTAGTCTGTATAGACTATGGTTCCCGGAAAAGGGTCACGGCAGATCGGCGCTAGGGACTAGATACATATACCTGCGAGCGACTCCACAACAAGACTCCAACGAACGCTCGCCCTGACAACATTTCTTCCCACCACACTTTGTTTTCAATAAAAATACTTTTATTTTACCGTTAAGAGAGAGTTTTATTTTGCTGCACACCGGAAGCAACCCACAAGGGGATTCAACTGCCAAACAAAAATTGTTTCAATATTCTTTTTCAGATTTGGAACTGCGCTGTATCAAATTTGAAGACTATATCCTTAATAGCATTGAAGTAATTCATCAAAAACTATTTTTACCACTAGAAATAAACAAAATATCAATTTTAAACTGGATTTATAACTAAATATAACTTTTTCTGTCTTAATTTTCAAACCCGTTTCATCAAAACTTTCCAACTTTACACGTTTTTCTGAATTCAACACATTTTACCATCGGAAAGGACGCAAGGAAGACGTCACGAAAACGAACTTACCCAAAATTCGTACAGCTGGTGTTCCTTGAGATTCCTCACCTCGTATATCAGCCCGTGCACGAGGACCATATCCTCTATCCTCATGTTATAGCTGGTGTGTTTTCCTACGCGCCCCGCCTCCCGACAATAAACGGTGTAGAGACTTATACGGCCGTTGGGCTTACTTGGTGATAACCATGACACCAAAATTGATTCGCCTGTCAGGGCAGCAGCTTTTATGCTGGCTGGCGGACCGGGAACTATCGATAAATTCATGTTAATATATAATTGGTGGTGGATTATTTATTACATATTAACTGCTACAGTTGATAAGGTCCTAGGTAAGGCATAGGTGTAGCGGTACAGGGAGTAAAATTTATATGACCACAATGTAACTCACGGGGAACTTGTTACGGCTTAATAAAATTCCTACCGCTCATTATCCAAGCTGCCAACGTTCAGTTTTACAACCCACAGGAGGCTCCGTTAGTTTTTTAGTTACGTCTGTGGTAACACTGCTTCAGCAGTCACTGCAGATTTCGTACGAATAAAAAAGGTAGCGTTGGATTTCTAATTCTAATCATGAGGAAATGAAGAACAGGAATAAAATAGATTTCTTGTTGTCTTTGAAAATATTCAGTAAAATTTCCTCCAAATGAGAGAAAAATAAAGTTGAGTATTCGTTCTCTTCAATTTTTTGCTGTCAGTCAATAGTTCCTAATCTCTAAAATTCTCAATGCAAGTAACCTGATCTAAGCTCACTGGACTGTTTTTTTCTGTTTTGAATTGATTAAAAAAATAACAGATCTGTGCCTTTTACAAGATATATATACACGATGATGGACTTTTAAAAAGTATTTCTTCTTTCCCGAAAAGACAGAAAAAAAGTAGTCCAGATATGACGACCTCGATTTTCGAGAAAAGTTAAATGGGGAAAACCGTCTCTCGAAGTTTTGCTTGATTCGTTTACGAGATAAAGGGCGTTTCTCAGTTTTTGTGGTTTCCTATGGTGTCCTATTCCGAAAAAAAAATTCATTCAAATTTCACTCAATTTTACTCAATAATATATCAATTTTTGTCCACACCCAATTGAGTGAAATTTTCGCTCTATTAGTATAAGTACCACTGAGTGAAACTATTGCAACAGAAATGAGTGAATTTTACTCATTTCCGAGTTACTGCTAACTGTCAATTGAGTGACTTTTGACTGTATTCTGAGTATATAAAACCAATTTAAAGTTGACTTTTTCATTAATATGATTTAAATTTAATTATTATTGAGTCATTTTTTACTACTTGGTTTTTAATTAACTAAATATTGAGTGCAAAAATATATCACTCATAAATGATTAATTAGGATATACAGTATTCACTAAGCGGGACCTCCTCCTGTCCTGACTGAGACCTGCCAGCTGAGACCCGCTGCCGCCGGCTAAGGTCTTTCTCCTAGCGATCACGCTTTCCTGGAGCATCTAACGGGCCCCTATCAACTGCTGTCGAGATTACAGAAGCAATATGCAAGTGGTGCCATCTTCACGGCACCATTCAAATTACTCGAAACTCAGTAATGAGCACATTTACTGTGATTTAGGTACAAGTGCACCAAATACGAGTTTACGTGTAGAATTTATTTAAGGAGTTCCTATATTTGAGTGAAAGTACTCAGTTTTAGTTTAGATATAATCACAAATGAGTAAAATGCCCAATATTGATTGAAAATGTATTCAAAAATGTCACTCAATGAATTCACTCCGAACCTTTATTGCTGTCACAATGGACTGGCAAATAGTCTTCAGGCCCCAAGAAAGCACGTCAGTCTCTGTCCAACATCAAAGTGATACTCACTGTTTTTTTCGACTTTCATTGAATTGTGCATTTTGCATTCTTGTTTCAATGTGAAACAGTGAATCGTGTGTACTAATATGACATTTTACAACGGCTATGTGAAAAAATCCGCAAGAGACCCGACTTGCACAATTTTTGTAAATCAGTTACTTCTTGATACAATTCAATTCATTTTTTTCCCTTCGATACATTAAATACATCCATGGCACACTTAACTGTGTCAAGAAGTAGTGAATAACAAAAAAAAATATATTTAATTTTAATTTGTTTGACTTACTCTAGCCTAGGTTAAATGATTTGGTTTTAGTTTCTGCAATTATTATTATTATATTGATTATTTTCCTTCTCTTTAAGAAAAATATCGATAATTCGAAAGTTGAGGAAATTGTGACAAAAAAATTAAATGCATGATTTTTGTCACCTTCACAAAGTTTATACTCATACACAGACTATTCTTTTTTCAATGACCATAAAAAAGGGAATTTTTGTAATACCGTCCTGAAATTTTGGCAATCTGACTCTAAAAATCTGTTGGACTTCAGTGGAATAATATGTACAGTGTGTACATATTTGCTCCGGACCACCAGTGTAGAATTTTTTACAGGGTGGGACGATTTTAATATCAATTTTTTTCAGAGTAGGGAATGTATAGACACACGTATGGGATATATTTTTAAGGAGATACTGTTATCTCGTGGCATGCTGTAATTTTTTTAATAATGTGTTTTTGGAAAATCGTATTTAGGGATTTTTTTATTAGAAATTTGACAACACTGCGTTATTCAGCAGCAAATGCAATAGCCAAAATTTCATTAATTTATGTCGTCGCATGTTTTTTTTTTGTAGAGCCTCAAAGTCTCAAAAAGTGAAAATTCTTATTTTAGTTTAAAAATATAGGGGGCTTTTAGAAATGAGTAAAAATAGTAAAATACAATTTAAAAAGGACGAAATATCATGTTAAGAAAGAGAAAACAATATGAGTACCATTATATTTTAAAATTAGATAATTTCTCTAAACACATAATTTTTATAACTCGGAAAGAAATTTATTTTTTCTTGTTATATTTCATCAAAGGTAAAAAGAAGTTCAGGACATCGAGCAAATGAAAAGGGGGACACTATAATTGAATATTTCCGAAAGGTTTCATCCTACTGTATATCCACCAATTTTGACCTATTACTTTAAGCGATCATTATGTATTCATCCTGATTGGCAGTCCGCCGGGAAACACCCTGTGCAGACACACAAACAGGAAGACATTGTTTATTTATCGCAAAAATTGCGTTTAAATACCCATTTACCACTTATCGCTAGGCTAATTTAAAAACGCACAATCAACCAGCTGTAGCTATAGAAGCAACAACTTAGATTTGCATATCAGAAAAGCTGGTTTTATGCTTACTGGCATACCGGACGCTATCTATAAATGCATTCCATTTTATAATTGTTCCGTGGTGTTATTATTTATTACACTTTGAATGTTGGACAATGATAGCTTTATCGATGCAAGAAAATTAAAGTTATGTACCACCGGCGTAAAGAGCTATAGTAGAATAACGAATGTTTATTATTTTACCTTTGTTCCGATTGTTTAAAATGACTATAAAAATTTGGTTTGGCATATTTTTAAATAATAAAACCGCAACTGTCCTGTTGTCTTTTTTACATTTTTACGCGTTGCCAAATCGCTGGTTGCAATAAAACATTTTAAATGTCGCATACGGATAAGTCTAAAGGTATAATGGATTGGAAAGTCGTTGTTCAAATTAATATTATTTGCAACAATTATAGTAGCATGCATAATATTTAATATCCCACGTGCGTGGTTAATAAAATTTTGAATCTAATACCACCGCGTTGGTGTTTATAGACAATATTGTCCTTATTCGTCTAAGCTCTACGTAGAGAAATTCCTATTACTAGGTGTGATGTAACGAGGCGAAGGAATTCGTAGTATATTTTTTCATTTCCAACAATGACACCAATACCACACTTAATTGAGTTTGCTACATACAACACCGAATAACTCAGTTTTTTCCCCTTTTCAATAAATGATACATATCCCACCACTTTGGTAATTCACTAGGACCGGCAAAAGAAATCACAATTACGTCGTTTCGATAAAGTGAATGGAACTAAGGTTTGCTGGAACTATTTCGCGGTAAACGCATATCAAAGTCTTGCACAGCTCCACCGCAATGTCGTTGGTTTGGAGTCTTTGCAGGATCTGGTGGGTAAAATTTTCAAATTTTGAAAAACAAAATGTGATATTCTACAGGGTGTTTCAGGATTAAGTCGACAAACTTTATGGAGATATTCCTTATAAAAAAAAATAAGAAAAAAGTCGAGTATACATTTTTTTCCAGAGACGCTTCATTTTCGAAATATATGGCGTTAAAAATTTTTTAAAAAATTCGAATTTTTTAAATAACTTCTAAATGAAGAAGGCTATTTAAGCCAAATTTTGCATGACACTTCTTCTTATAAGATACAATTTTTCCATAGAAGTAGAAGTCCTGCAAGCAACCAGTCGCGGAGTTATGGGGACTAAATTATAAAAAAAAATAATACGGCCCTACTAAAAATAAAAAATAATGCTGTTTTTAGATAGAACAGTTTGTTATTGACAAAAAGTGTACATTCACTTTTTTCCTAACTCTTATAGTTTCATGGCAAAATTGATTTTTCGGAAGGATGCTTCTGGATTCTGTCGATAAACTTTAAAATGAACCTCAACAAAAATTTTCGAGTAGGCTGCTGTCAAACAATGTTAATTTGACGTTTTAAATGTTATTTTGCGAATTGTTGCATACATTATCCATTATATAAAGCGTTCAAACTAATAATAAAAATAAGTTTAATAATGCCGTCCATATTTTCGAACAATGAATATGCTGATATGGTCTTTGTATATGGTTTTTGTCATGAAAATGCCACGGCAACCGGCAAAGGAAACATTTTCAACGACATTCAGTCGTCTCAGACAAACTGGGTCTTTCGGTATTCCAACTTATGCTGATGGACATTTTGCCCCACTTAAATCCATCCACGAGTGTCAGAAGATCTAGCTAGGTATTTCGTCAAGTTCCATTTGGAGGACGCTTCGGGCTGATGAACGCCATGCATACTATATCCAGCGTGTGCAACATTTATTGCCTCAGAACATACGATGCAGGCGCGTGTTTTGTGACTGGATGTTAAACCAAGCAGAGAATAATGATCAGTTTACGCAAAAAGTAATGTGGACAGATGAGGCAACATTTACTCGAAGGGGAATTTTAAACCAAAGGAACAACCATATCTGGTCCTACGAGAATCCACGGGCGGTAAGGGAACTTAGTTTTCAGCATGAATTCCAATGTAACGTATGGTTGGGTGTTTTGGAAAACACTATAGTTGGTCCCTACTTCCTTC